ATGGTCAGTAGGGTCCTCACTCTGTATACCACCCTGATCCAAGATGCCTTGTTAAATAACAGCATAATGTGTCTCTGACAGCGACTGTATGAGATATATTATATTAATCCATTGGGGTGGGGTGCCCAGCTGGCCAGGGCCACCCTACATTTGTCAAAATTTTAAAAAATTGAGATAAAATTTTCAAATTTTAAGTCTGAATGAGTGCCATTTCTAGGCATCAAAAAGTGCTGTTAGGATATGCTCTGATATTCCTATCTTATTTACATATGTTATACATTACTTAGATTTAATAGTGAAACTAACAGTTATAAAGGTGAAGAAACTCTTCAATTGTTTAGTGGTTACAGTTAGTGGTTTATTGATTGATGCTAAGAGAGACACACAAGAACTAAGTATCTATCCTGCATTCCAACATTATGATGATATACAAATGACATGAATATTTATTAACACTTATATATGTGTATATATGATGTACCAGTCAGTATAATAAACACTTTTAGACTACTTCTTCAAGTCATTAGTCCGTTATTGTAGATACAATCCGTTTGTCAGCATTCTCTTATTTACTGTATTGTATGTGTCGTAAACAGGCTACTCCACCTACTACTACACAAATTATAACAGGTGCCATAATGATAATTTGCTTTGCGACTACCCAGTATAAAACATAGACTATAGGTCCTTTGATCAGACCTTTCCGATGCCCGTGAGGGGAGGGGTGTCTAAGGGTAAAGGAGCATACGATGGAGCATAACTGCCGTCGGGAGGAAGGTCGAGAATCGGCTGAGAGTGCCATTTCCGAGCGTCTAGAGGGGCCTATTCTTAAAAATTGTTCAAAGGGCCACTGATCCTTAGGGTACCATATTGTCTAGTGGGGTCCTCTATAGAACTCTGATCCTAAAGGACATTGCTGATACAAAACAGCATAATATGTGACTGACATCAACTGTAGGACAGCATATTAATCCAGTGGGGTGGGTTGCCCAGTCGGCCAGGACCCCGTGGGCCCTGCATTTGTAAATATTTTTTAAAATGGAGATAAAATATTCGAAGTTCTAAGTCTGGATGAGTGCCATTTCCGGGCATCTAGAAGTTCCAAAATCATAATTTGCTTTAAGTTGCGACTCAAAGTATAGAATAGACTATAAGTCCTTGATTCTGAACTTTGCGATGCCCATGAGGGGAGAGGGAGAGGGAGCATAGCTACCAGCATAGCTCCCGTCGAGTGGAAGTCAATAATTTTTTGTCGAAAACACTGCTTTGAAAAAGAATACTATACTCGCGCAAATAAGCGCCCGGGCGCTTAAAATATTTTTTTTGCACTTTCTGAGCGGCGCTTATTCAAATGGGGCGCTTATTTAAATGGGGCGCTTATGAAAACCGAGTGGAAAGTAAGGGATTAATTGGATTATTGACTTGCTAAAAAGAAAATCTTATGATATTGGCGCTTAAGACCCACTTATTCTCGTCTCTTTAATTTATTTTTTTTCTATTTCCATGCCAGCTAGCTTTTATAGCTTTAACTAGGATAGGAGGCGCCCGAATCCGAGATGGCCGAGACTCAACAGGTGCTGACTGTAGTTCAATTAGATTGAACCCTAGCCAGCGATGAGGGCGTATCCCCATACTTCGGTTTGGGTGCTGGCATGGTATTCAATTTTCACTTTTTATTTTGTGGTTTTGGTTTCCGTTCCATCTTTACACTTGCCTGATAGCGCTTAGAGACTTTTTGTATTTTGCGCTCTATAAATTAAAAACCATTAACCATTACGGTATTTTTACCATCTGAGAGTGCAATTTTTGAGCATCTCTAGAGGGTCCTATTCTTCAAATTTGCTCAGCTCAGCCCCAAACATGGTGGTGCTGAGGTGGTGTAGAACAGCAATAATTAATGATTAAATAAGATCACAAAACTGTGATTGATATAGTACGGTATAGTCGCTATTGTGAGCGATTTGCTGAAATTTTATATTAGGAATTACGAACTATCACTAGAATTAGGCCTATAGTTATGCTTAGAATTGTAGCATCGTATTAGGTATATGATGAATCATCTTGCAAGTGATGCCTGTTTTGATTGTACATGAACAGAAACGTTAATTAGTAATTATTAGAAGTATATTTTAATTGCGTATTGATTTACCTTAATTTGGGGTACTGTGTTTTAAGAGTCTGGTGCATTTTGTATATAGCGGAGTGATATTTGCATTGTTATGAGGCTTATGTGGGACTCGCCTTTTAAGTTAGTGTAAGTTAAGTATATTATAACGAAGTTAATCCATGAGAGTTTTATACAGTAGTTATAACTTTTGACCAGAGTAACCATGGGTATACCATGTAATACAATAGAGCGGCTGATTGCTTGATTTTTTTTGTATTGTTTCGTTTTCATAAATCTTTCCTTCCATTTTCTCTACGTATTCTTTCATCTCTTAATCTTGACCCTGATGAATTAAAAATTGGTTCCATCCGGAATGCCCTTTCTATTAAGCAGTTGCATGTGCTTTATTTTATATGTTTTTCTTTTCAATGTATTTATGTGTAGGCCTATATATATATATAGTTAAAGCGGATAGTAGCCCTCGATGGCTTATGAAGCAATAAAGTGAATTGAATTGAATTGAATTGCATTGAATGAGAGTCGCATTATTTCGGGTTTTCTTTATGAGAGGAATAATATGTTTAAAAGTATTTTTCTTTGAGTATCGTCGATATAAATGGTATAATTCAAATAAATATTATTATTACTTGAATTTGAATTTTTGATGTCGAAGTTCAAGTACTGAATGCATGATTTAATGGATTGAAAATAGTTAAAATTACGTTAACCTATATTATCGCGATGAAAAACTTTGAGCAATTTTTGTATTTCTATTCGATAGGTTCAAACGACTTCTTGGGACACAATAAACTTTCAGATCAAACATAACAGCTTTTGAATTTTTGTCAGCTTGAATACCGAAAGAATTTTCAAACATACAAAATTATTATTGCACAGCAGTATAATACCGTACTTTATTATATAGGGTATTGCATAGTCACAGCTACTGTAAATAAGGAACGGTTAGGATTTTTTGTGTTTTTTTCTATCTGAACATACAACTTCATGTGACATTTACCTCAGCCTCAATTTTTCTTATTGTGTTTCAGACGCTATAGAAAATTTAAATAGAAACCTAAAAACCATTATTTCCTTCAAAAATTACATCCTGTGTCCCTTATGGTATCAGAAGAATGGTCTTAGAGTCGTAAAAAAAGTTAATTGAAGACAGAACTGTATGTGAATGTTGAAAATATGAATCTGAAATAAAGAGGATAAGTACGGAGTCCCACAGGGACACATACTGGGTCCCTTATATTTCTAGTGTGACATAGTAGATGTATGTCAAAGTATTAAATTTAAATAAAATAAATTAAATAAAACAAAAAAATAAACTAAATATTTTATGTTCAGTAGTAGACAAATAGTGGTTTGAAACTAACAATAAAACGGAACTATGTAACATTTTTTGGTTGCCTCCTAGATGAACAGTTAACTATTATATCACACTTAGACTACGTAACAGTAAAATATCAAGCAGATGGAAATATTTTATCCCCAAAAATGTACTTTTAACAATAGACATTGCTTTAGTTTTGTCACACATTAATTACGCAGTCACAGTGGGGACTCCCCAAATGAACTACAAAAAATACATATGCTTCAGAAAAAAAAAAACCACAATGACAATTATATCTAAAGTGGGTTACTTGCATCATACACACGGTTTATTCTACCAAAACAATTCACTTAATATCAACGATATATAACAATTCACATTTAAGTCTGAAAACAATCAGCTTCCAATTGCATTTGATAATTTTTTTCTAAAAATGGAGGACGAAACAAGAAATATATGTAATTACCAGATACCTGTGAAAATAATAAATGTAGGACAAATGGTATAGCTGACAGGGGCTGCAAAATTTGGAATAGTTTATCTGATCATATAAAACACAACTTAATTGGTGAAATCAAGAAACGAGCCCACACATACCTACTTAATCACTACCATCAATAATTTTTATTAAGTAAAATATGAATTATTTTAATTAGGGTCACTGTTATTATTGTCATTGTCAATATTATCAGATATTTATTTTATATTAATAATGATTATTATTACTATTGTTATTATATTATGGTTATTATGAATTATTATGATTATGCTTGGCATGCAGGTCATAAGTCATATATGACATTTTCCATGCAAACCATCATTAATCTGTTATGTAGCCATCAATGTTTAAGTCTATACTGTAAATACCATGAAATGGCATGAAATAAATGATACGAAAATACTACTGAAAAAGTTAAAACCGTGTGTTATCAAGCATTGTTTACTTTATATAGACAGGGCCCAGCCAATGATAAACTGCCATTTTGTTCTGTATCTTAAAAAATAAATTAAAGTTTCAGATATATTGTCCTTGTAAAAATCGGTAAAACCCTCAACTTTAATACTTAAATTTTATTTAAACTGTATTTCTCAGCAGTTTTATTATCCTGACCCCATACAACTTGAAATAAGCTGGGGGGGGGGGGGGAATTGGCCTCAAATCCAAAATGGCCGCCAAAATTCAAAATTAACTTAATTCGGCAAATTCTGCCTAATATTTGTTCCGTTAACGTTTTTCAATGAATTAGTTAATCCTAAATTAATTTTAAATTAAATTTAAGGCCACCTAAAAGTTTACTCCATATTCAAGATGGCCGCCAAAATGCAAAAATGGCCAACAGAATTACCTTATTAAGATTGCCAGAAATTTGTTGTGTAAAAGACTTTCTTACAGCGATCTGTCATCTGGAACCTTTTTTAATTAACCGCTGAGAAAACTTATACCGGAAAAAATGGCAGTTTATCCTTGGCTGGGCCCTGTCTAATAGTAGCACTAAGCTCCCGCTACAAGATAGTTCCATAGTGTCTGTTAAATTTTACTGTACTGCCTTTCAGATTGTTTAGCTGTCTGTCCTGCTGGCTGGAGCGAATATGGAACCTATTGCTACAAAGAGTTCACCTCACGTGTTCACTGGGGTCCAGCTAAAAGTTATTGTCGGGGACAGGGATCAGGAGTAGATTTAGTTTCTATACATTCTTCAGGAGAAAATGTAATTACCAAGAAACATTTATTCATTTTACCCAATAACATTAAGTGGAGCTATTGCTTGGCTGTTAACACGCTTGCCTTCCAATCTCAATTAAAACAATTTCAAATCCTGTGTCAAATCAGGATTGTTTATCTCACAATTAAAATAACTCTACACCTCATTAAGAGAGATTAAAAATCATTATTCGATCCTGTATGTTTCTGTTAAATGTAAGATAGATAAATAAATACATAATAATAATAATAATAATAATAATAATAATAATAATAATAATAATTTCATTTCATTTATTCATTTATTTCCACACATATCAAATAAAACATATACTGAACATAGTTCAGTTCAGAATTGTGTGGGGGGAAAGTCGGATAAACCAAATAAGGTTCTAAGTTCGACCCACCTCTTACAAAACAAAGGGGGGAAAATACAAAGACAGTTAAACAATTATACACGATTCTTTTAAAATAAGGAAAAAAAATAAAAAAATAAAACAGTAGTTGCTACACATTTCAAATTGTTCACTTAACGTTCTTCTTATTTATATAATTATTAAGACGCAGCGTAATTTGATATTAGATGTTTTTTTTTTGTAGTTTGATTAAAAATTTAAAACAGATGGTGCCGTTTTAAGATTTTGATCAAGAGAATTCCACACTTTAGGTCAATTAAAATTAACAAAATTAGGGCTAAACTTTGTCTGGCATTTGAAAAAAATGTAATCATTAGAGGTACGTGTATGGTAATTGTGTAATTCACCATGTTTCTTAAAGTAATTGTTAAATGATTCTGGGAGGTAGTTATTAGCGTATCTATATAAAAATATGGCAGTTTGAAGCCTATTAATGTCAAAAATATTTAAAGTTTTAAATGCAAAAAATAGTGGTTTAGTATGTGATAAAGAATTAGACTTGGAGCAAATTCTAATAATAATAATAATAATAATAATAATAATAATAACGATGAAAATAATAATGATAATAATAACAATAATAATGATAATGGTAATAATAATAAGTATTAATATTAATAAAGAAAATAATTATAATGATAAAGATAACGATATTACTTTTATTGTTATTATGATTAAATCTCATTACAAGTATTATTATTTAAATTAAAAACATGAAATTATATAATGTAAGGTAATCTAGGCCTACACATAACTAGATTGTTTTTACCCGTATCTTACTGAAGGTTAATAACTTAATTTATTATTCTTAATGAGCTAGAGTCATAATTTTAAATTCAGTTTTGAGGGTTTTACCGATTTTTACAAGGACAATATATCTGAAACTTTAATTTATTTTTTAAGACTTTTGTTGGATCATTGATTACTAGTGATGCATGGATAGGTCTATATGAAGATGACGATGATGATTATCATTGGGCCGACGGCTCCTCTCAAAATTATTGGTGAGTACATACTTTGAAGTAATAAATACGTTATATGTTATGTTACATTAATTTATAATTTATTACATAAAATGAAGATATTACGTGTATCAAGATATCACTTTGAAGTCTATACAAATTTAATTACGAATAAACTTTTAAACGACCAAAAGAAAAGAAAAAAAAATAACCGGAACATATGGTCATTGTATTTTCTTAATCTAATTTCTTTACAAATTGACAAACTAATTTGTGTTTGCCACATGCAAATTAGTGAAATAATGTTGGTGTTGGGTGGGTATCTTTGTGGAGAAGTAGATGTATGTACGCTTATACACATTATACAGTTTTTAAAATTGTATTTCTAGCGTCAACCCAGTTATTTATTGTCAAAGTAATGGGGTTATCTTAAACTATAATGCTAGTGTAATGAGTGCATGATACAGGATTCCGGGCCGAAATGAATTTCTTAATGCATTTTGTATTGAAGTCTAATAACAATATATAACTATGTAGGCCTAGGAAGTTACAAAAGCAGATGCAGATTAAATTAATATTAACCCGTTTGAGATAAGATACTGCCATATAGGTCAATAAATACCTGTATCGAGTTGGGTTTGTTCAGTTTTAGTATTGCTTTATACCTAATCCAGTTTTATGTCAATAATGTCAGATTTTTATATTAGAATTAATTTTCTTTAAGATATAAAAAAAAATCGTGTTACACAAAAACAATTGTAAAAAGTGTCCTCCGGGCTAGATAGGGGCATGGCAAAAGGGCATAACTACACAATTTTCATTAAATTCCATAGGCAGAAGGGAAATAACTGCAATGATAGTCTGTGATACATTGAAGTGTGACGATTTTTCAACAGCCAACCGATTAATCGAGTTTTCCTGGTTACAATGATGGTTGCCTAAAAAGTTTTATTATTTTGTATTCTTCCTACTGTTTGTGTACTCACAATTTGTAAATAAGAAACTACATAAATAGTATGATTTTTGACGGTAGCATATTTCTAGTTAATGCTAGGCAAACATGGTAAGTCTAGTTAATTATGCTATCAATGCCTTACTTTGAATAGAATACAGTTTTTTTTTCATTCAATATGTATTTCACGCGGAGGCTCCTCACAAGGCACAGCTTTAGCATCGTGGAGCCTACATAGTAATACTGTACAATTTATCTGCAGCGTGGCAGTGTGAAAGTTCACAATAAGAAAATACAGTTCAATACATGGAAATAAATCCATTGGAAAGAGTAACTGTTTAGTAACAATAATTAACTATGGTAGAATAATAATTCACATTTTAACAATAAAAAACAATGGGATAACTGAAGCATTTACTTAGCAAATATCCATGGCAAAGAGGCACAACCACAACGTTCAGCAAATAACCATGGCAAAAAGGCACTACTTCTACGTTTATTTATAGCAAATAAAAAAAGGGACAACTATAGCTTAGCATAGTCAACTGTGCTCACAAAGCAAACAACAATTTACTTTTTCATCTGAATAAATACATTTTATATATTTTCTTAGAAAGTTAAAACAATATATTGTTCAACGTACACATAGAAACAATCACCTGCACATTCTAACTAAACAACAGTTCTACTTCACATACGCATACGCGCGTATCCTTCACGCAGCGTCGTAACGCCTATGCGATCTTGTGCGAAGGTCGGCAGGGCCCTGGACCCCCGGGGTCCCGAAGGGCCTCTACCCATAGGGTCCTCGATCTAGTGCCATGAGTCAAAAAGGCTTTGATACATAACAGCATACCATATAGTTAATTCTCTTTTTCGTTTGTATATTTGGTATACATGGGTTCTAAATTCCTTTGTCATTTTATTTATTTAACGCGTTACTTTGGTATTATTGTACATTAATTTAATATTTTATACATGACTAGCATATGACACTGTATATTAAATTTTATTTTTTGGATAATCAGACTTCAAATTGTGTTGAAAACACTAAACTGTGCACTTATATCCTTTTGCCAAAGTTTGTCAACATGTCTTGAACGGAAAACCCACGGCAAAATGGCATATCTGACGTTTTGAGCGCAAAAAATCATTATCTATAGAAAAAATGTGTGCTACACTGGAAGAGACATTATTTGTTTATTCTAATACATTAACCATGAAATCAAATACTAAAACACATGTTAGGGCTTCATAAGTTTATACGTTTTGCCTAATGGCACGCTCGCCTATGGTTCTGGTGGTAGAACAAGTCTTCTCGGATAAGGATTGTAAACCGTGCCCTGTGTATACAATGGCTCGTGTGCACTATAAAGAACCCAGAACACCCTTCGAGACGAGTAGGGGGATACCCCGGTGTACTGGAACAGACAGCCACTGTGGTGGACGACGAGAGTTGCTGTTACCGGGTAGCACAGACACGAAGAGACCCTTAGGGGCGAAGAAAGTCATTGATCGAGTTCCTAGTCCACATATCAAGCGCCCTGAGCATCTTACATTAGATGGATATGTGTGCTATATAAAAATACACTATTATTATTATTATTATTATTATTATTATTATTATTATTAATATTAATATCTCCAAAATAACAAATTGTCATTTATGCCCTTTTGTCATGGGGTGGGGGGAAGGGGAGTTCAAGGTAAAGGGTTATTTAATTACCGTACTCGCGCAAATAAGCGCCCGGGTACCGGGTGCTTAAAATATTTTTTGCCCTTTCTGAGGGGCGCTTATTCAAACGGGGCGCTTATGAAAACAGAGTGGAAATTGAGGGGGCGCTTACGCAAATAGATGAAAATCGAGGGGTTCCATGGGAACTTCAGGAGGCACTTTTACGCCGCAAAACCATTCGTTAATCGTCATAAAAGATAATCGTCCAGAGAACATGGCTCATGACAAGAATGCTGTGAATATTTACATAACACCAGAATAACAGATGCAATTAGTGGTTGTGGGTGGTGGTTAGCTTGTTGGCCATTGGCCGATTGAGATTAGCAGAATTGCAGGATCATTGCAGGTTTTCTTGAAAACTCAGATGAGAATGTTCTAAAGGTGTAAATTGTCGGAAAAAGAAAAAAAAAGAGTAGGACTAGACCTATACAAATATGTAAGAATAAGAAAGTTGGAAATATATTGTCTGTCCAGGGATCATATGGTTCTCATCTGGAGAGAAATATCTTCAATTTGATATTGACCTATGAAGAATGTGATTCCACTCTGCAGTTCCAAGTATGCCAACAATCTGTCTCTGGATTGATTGGACTATTGACTTGCTAAAAAGATCTTATGATATTATTGAGGGGCGCTTATTCAAATTAGAAGGGGCGCTTATTCAAACGGGGCGCTGATTCGTGCAAGTATGGTACTGAATTTGTATGCCATGAAAAGCTTGCACCTAGGGTTGAAACATACCATCAGCCACTTCACAGCCTGTCAACAATGCAAGATAAATAACAAGTGTTAAAGGTGTACGTGAGAGTATACTATTTAGACAAATTTAAAACTGATAAAGACAAAATACATACGTTTGTTGTTCTTTTATTTTTATTTCTAAGTTCAACTTTCATGACAATTTTTTAATTTCAATTTAGATTTTGTTATGCAAAACCTATGACTAAGTTCATAATGTATGACAGGCCTTCACCCTGCATTACAATGTAGATAATGTGGACATAGGCCTTTGTTAAAATTTATCAGTAATTTTGACCAATAATTCATTAGAAAATCACCTCATCTCCGGAGCCTCTTCTTTCCACCCCTTGTTGACCTGTCTGGAATACTATGCTCCGAGGTCTCTGGACGTTGGACCAGACAGACGTGTTAAAAATGTTTTATGACCGCTCAACCGTCCCTTTCACTTTGAATCTGTTGGAATTCCTTTCTGCATTGCCAGGTAATGTAGCTGGCTCTCATGGCTGTTTTAGAGGCATATACTTGTTTAGCATTGATTTTCGTTTCCACTTGGGACTTAATCAATAATGTGTTTAAAAGCCTCTGCTTTCCACGTTTATTTGGAAGTCAGACACATTCCGTCTTCTGTTTTCACATTCAGCAACAATATCTTTGTACTTGCATTTCCCCGCGCATGCACTAGATTGATTCTTATGTGGCGGCACTGTTACTTCTATGATACATATTGCCTACACTGAATGCTTATGTTATCTTTAATCTAAGGAAAGGAAAAAAAATAATTATATAGCACACAATATTGTAGGATTTTTATTTGGAAGTAATTATAATGAAAATTTGTGGTTGTAGCAGTCATATACTTTGGAATACCTCATGATCAATATAATGTTATTTTGTGAATGTTTTAAAATATTTGTTAATGAAAAACATTTTTGAAACTTCGTATATTTTCTTGTGAGTATTGTATTCCAACTTGTTCAGTTTCTCCTTGTTTGATGGTATTTTGAATAAAGTTTGTTTTCATCTTTCTAAGTAATTGGGACTCTGGTCAACCAAATCTAGATCGCATAATTGAAGACCCTAACTGTGCAGAAATGCGGAAAAGTAATTATCGTTGGAATGACGAGGAATGCAGTGATAATGTTTACGATGGATACGTATGCAAAACATCATGTGAGTCTACAGTACACTTTTAGATTTGTAGTGTTCAAATGATAGGCCTATTCGTGTGCAACTGTCATTACAGCATCGATGTAGTGTGTACAATCAGGGAACAGTCATAATATGACTGCCTCTGGTGCAAGTTTATTCATTTTTAAAATATACCATAACCATAATATAATGGCAATATGGTATATGGTAATATAACGACAGGCAATATTAAACGTTGATATACGGTAGAGCTCATAACGCCATACACATTTTCCAGGACAGACAAAATGCAGACCCTGTCAGAGGGTATGTCTTTTAAACAAGGAAAAACACGTTGAAAAATGATAAATTTGAGACATTAAAACATTAGTAAATGTGGACCCACATCAATTTCAATGTTTATGACTAATGAAAAATATCAATTGAAACTTAAATTACTTCCTAGGTATAGTAATACCGTATATTTGAAAGGTAAAAGGTAGGCCTAATATATAATTTGATTGAGTTTATTTATTGACCAGAGTCAAATATATACAAGGCAACAAGAAAAAACAAAAACAAAAGCAAGTGTGCAGTAAGAATAAGGTTATATGGATATGGCAAAAAAGTAAAATACTTACTTCCATTAGGGTTTAAAAAAAACACGAAAAAAACAAATTTCACTTGTGTCTTAAATAGTAGACAATTATATAAAATAATATTAAAAGCTGAGAACAACTTTCAAAATGGCCAAAACAAAGAATTTAAAAACCGTACAAAATTAAAATTGCACTTACAAACATTTGTTAAAGTAATAAGTGAAAATTTAAAAATAGTACAGAATGAAAAAATGAACAAGGGAAAATGACATAAAATAAATAACATCTCCCTGGGGAGAGCATCCATGAGATATGACTTTAATGTTTGCGTAAAAAGTATTTATATTGGTCAATTCTATAGAAAAGATTGGCGATTGTTTGTATATAGGCCTATATAATAAAGTCTAAAAAGTATTTTGTTTAAACGGGTAATGGTACCATTATTGATATTGAGTGGATCTTTTTCTATTGTGTCCTACATTCAGACGGTTCTTGACCATTGACACAAAGCTAGGCAGGAGAGTGTACATCGCCAATCTATTCTAGCGCAATTAAGGCTGTGTTAGCATTGTATATCTTAGTAGGTGATCCATTTTCTGAGGTTTTAACTTCTAGGAGTTATTGTGTATAGTCAACTGCTCTCTGGGTATTCCTAGGATGTTTTAATCTAGATATTTCATTAATATCTGCTGTATCTAGATAAACCACATTCCAATCCTCAAGATGTGGCTCAACTGCTCTATATGGTATTCCTGAGATGTTTTATAGATATTTCATGAATATGTATCATGTATCTAAATAAACCATATTCCAATCTACATGATGTGGCCAGGATAATCTCAGAATCGTGCCAGTACATTCCCATCCTCCTAGGACATAGGGGTTACATACGTTGCTGTTTGCACAAAAAATCAGTCTACCACTAACTTTCAAAAGAATGATCATTAAAAGTTTTCATAATATAAAGAAAGTAAGACCCTCTGGAAACCGTTTGGGAGTGCAATTCCCAGGAATCTAGACTTGCACATCCTTATTTTATAATCATTCCTAACCTTGGTGCATGCTGAGGTAGGTGTTGAAACTTCTGGTAATTCCCCCTACTTTGTTTCGCAGTAAATCATTTGATCTACTTAAAATTTAACAAAGTTAAAAAAATCAAATTAAGACACAGTAACAGTGCTATATCAGGCCATTTAGAGTACATTAACCACTACACTCCAGATGCTTTTCATCTCAGCCCAGTCTCAACCATATTTGAGACTGGGCTATGAGCGGTGGTCGGGGTGGGGGGGGGGCCCAGATAGTGACTGTCACAGTTGGAGAGTGTACCCGCAGTCCTGCTATTGTTATTTTGTTATATTTCATGCTTTTTATGTATTTTATAATAACAAGAATAGAGATAAAATATCTGTATGTAATGATATGATAACTGAATCTAAAAACTGGTTGAGCTTATATTGTCGTCAGTTTTATCTCGTAAAAACACTTACTCAACGCTGTATTTCCAGACCAGACATTTATCTTATAATAAACATTAATGTTATATTACTTTTTTTGTATTACAGATATTCAAACAGCATATTAATTTTTACAATTTACTGTCATCATCATTCTTATGTTTTCATGTTATATTTACAGATTGTAACGTTGTCAACTGTCTGTCTCTAACGTTTGTTCTTAATCCTCGCAAATGTAAGTGTTCATCATGTGCAAGTCAGCATTATTTTGGCATCAGAAACCTCTTGTCCAGGTATGTATATATTTAATATGATATAATCTAACACGATGTTGTTTTACATACATTAGTAATTATAGTTGCTACTTCTATCCCGTTTTTGCACGGGTTTCTCTACGCGACACTTTCAGTGATTTAGTCTTAAACATATAGCAAGCAAATCATATAGCAAATGTGTGCATACTAAAATATTACTAAATTCCACTTGAATGTTTATATTAAAAAACTGGTAATTACACTATTAAGCTAATGAAATTTAGTGCAATTATATGTTCTATTTAGCGTTTTGAACTACTTGTAGTTATGTTCAAAAAAATCATCTTAAAAACCATCTTAAAAAATCTATGTGACCACCCGTCGTCTGGAAAGAAAACTTTCTCATTCTTTCAAACCACAAAATAAAAACATGGTCAACGGACTTCGCTTTTTCTGCCTCATCTCTCTAGAAAAAACTCATCACATTCATTCCATATAGTCTACTAGCTTTCAACTACAATCAACCGAATTACTTTTTTCACTCAACGCTTAGTATACCTTCTGCGTCTTCGAATTATTAATTAATCGAATACGCAGAAGGTATACTGAACTAAACGCCTTCGATTAATTAATTAGAAATTGGCACTCAAAAATGTATCATAATAGTTTTATAAAAAACTAAAAGATAATGATCAAGGAGATAATTTTAATAATGATGATAAATGGTCAACTTCAAAATACTGTACTATATTTGCACTTGTCTGTGACTTCAGTAATGTTATATAACTGATTTTGATAAATTCTTATAATATCCGCAGCGTGCACCGCTATCTCTAACTGTGATCTTGTCAGTTGTACAACGGCAACTAATCAAAATTGTATGACGTGCAATGGTGATTATGGAACGGCTTTGGGTCAAGCGTATCTCAATAAAGTTACTATATGTGAAGGTATGGTAAAGTAATTAGAAAAAAAAATTCCCATACTGGCGCTCTTTAAAAAGCCAATGTACTTTGTACTTAATACTAACATCAAAATGTAACAACAAATACAACCTGAAACCTAATTTTATATTCGTAGGTTGATCTATATCTGTAGTTTCATTGTGTTAAACATAGATTAAATGAACTATTATGTAATGTTTTTTTAATGAAATAAATAATTTTTTTTAAATTATCATCAGTTATTATTATTATCATTATTATTATCATTATTATTGTTATAATTATTATTATAGTACCATTACTTTATTATTGTTATTTTATTATTTTTAGTTATTATCATAATGTTTATATTGGGTTGCAGAGAATTGCTCCTGGAGATCCAGCAGTACCATCTGCTACCCTGGGACTTGTCCAGATGGCGAAAACAGCTGCACATGTACATCCGGATTTACTGGTACTGACTGCAGAACATGTACGTATACAATCGTAATAACTACATGTCTACCTCCAACTAAAGAAACAGGTTTTCATGGTCTTTAGCTGCCTTGGTCTTTAATTATAAAAAATATAATATATGGTGGTCAGGGGATCAAGTCTTCGCTGTGCGGGTTGCTTGTGTCTTTGGGTGAACACTTTTATCTACGTGTGTTCCTCTCTACCCAGAAGTAAAAAATAGGTACTGACATTATGTTGTTAAGATAAACCGAGTCACTATAAGGAGTGGCGATCCCTTCATAGCATTGCACAGTCTGGCTAAACGCTTAAAAAGAGGTGGGCATTCCGACCTATAAATGTTTACCCACTTTCATATCTATAACTGTAATAATGATTTGTTAACATAATCTTATGTATTTTTTCATTACACCCTTTTAACAGTGACATCAAGTCAAACACCCATCATGAACTATTGTCTGACAAAACTTCATGACACTTCTGGTGGCACATTGGAGTTACAATGTGTGGATAATGGGCACACATCATATGTTCGTATCACGAATTTGACAAATTTCGAGAATGACTGGAAGAGTAATTACTACCAGCCGGCTGTTGCTTTCCCGCCTTATATATCCAGCTTTGCACTAGGGATGATTCGAGGTATCACAGTAGCGACTATCTATAATAAAGGTATATTATGTAAAAAATTAAAATCCCATTCGGCTTTGTTCAAACGAAGAGTAATCTTTTCATATTTTCATAATAAAGAAACTGTCAATCTTCTTGAACTGAAATCCTTGATAATAGAACCAAATGGACGTAAGTTGACAAAAAATACAACGCATTTTAAAAATAACACAACATTTTTAATGGAAGACATGTTTCGGATTATCTTCAACCCATCATCAGTTAACAAAAAACACAACAGAAATGAGCCAAATACTTTTCATGTAGATATAGGGTAATTATTATGCTGAATATTAAATAGATAGACTGATTTGTTTGCCAATGAGTTTGACCAACTATAGTAAGTCTCCAATCTAGACTATATGTAGCTAATTATTATTCTGAATATATAATTGAATACCATGATTTGTTTAACAAAGGGTTAGTAAAGCTCTAGTAAGTCTGTAATATGGATCATATGTAGCTAATTATTATGCTGAATATATAATCAGGTACATTGATTTGTTTAACATGTTGTGAAGCTATAGTTAAATGCAAGGTACCAAGCGCTTGCATAATAACTATTGCTTACGTGTACACGTAATTACTACGTGTATATGGTTTTCAGGTGCTGTTTATTGCAACTATTGTTGATACAGTATTATTATTACCTTCGAAAAGTGCTCATATTTTTTGTGTGTCTTTGTTTGTTATCAAACTCCGTCGGATTTTCACAAATGATTTCTGACGTTCCTTTTTTGGTGACGATCTGGAGTTGGGTGTGGATGTGGGGGTGTACAGTAAGAATGGCCCCGGAAAAATGGCCCCGGAAAAAATGGCCCCGGAAATAATGGCCCGGAAAAAATGGCTCCGGTAAAAATGGCCCCATATGACAGGTAGGTAAAAATGGCCCCAATAATCAAATTCTGAATTAAAACTGATTTTCTTGAGTCATTATATGCATTTTTTTATCTTAACTAATTTAGTTTTTAAAAGGAACTGTCTCTTATACACATCTAGATGTGTATAAGAGACAGTATTTGAGGAGATTGCTATCTCAGTGA